TAAAAGGATCAATTTATAAAGTATTATTTATAAAACTAAGTGACATAAAAATAAAAAATTTGAAGACAAAAAAAAATTTATTATCTATCTTCTTTTATTACTTCTGATCTTTTTAGAGTATCTATTGTTTTTTATAATTTTTTGAAAAAATTTTGTTTATTCCAGCTTGACCCTAAATTTCTGATAATACAATATCATTTAAAAATAAATCTCTAAAAAGAGAGACAAAGACAAAAGTCAAATGTCTTTCATTAGAAAACATTAAAAATTTTAAATTAATAACTATAAAAAAATCACTATTATCAAAAACTTTTATTTTTAATACTTTTTAAATTTTGTCTTTATTAAAGTGAAGAGTTATAAATTTTGTTTTTCAAAAAGGGACATAAGTGATTTGTGAAATTTTATATATTAAATATTTTAGAAACCCATTATTAATATTATTTGATATTTGATTAGTTGATATAAAATATGTTGGCAACAAAATGTAAACAAGTTTTTATTGACCATATTTATATGTTTCAATGATATTTTTGATAAAAGAAAAAGAAATTACTGATACAAACTTTTTTACTTCTTCAAATAAAGTATAATTGAAGTGAAAAACTATAGGATTATTAGGATATGCACTAAATTTCCTAGATAATAAAAAGATAATTATTTGTTCAAGTCAAGATCTTTACTTTTTTATTATTCTGATTAGGAAAAGTATATAAAAGAAATTATTTCTTTATTCTGGTTAGGTTATAAGATTGAAAAGTAGAAAACTATAAGTCAATATCTTTCTCTAGGATTAAAAATATATTTTTTTTAATATTGTATTCTAATATCATAATCAATAAGAATTCTTATTATCTATGAGATCTGATTATCATTGCAAGACAAAAAAATTGATGTGAAATCTAACTTTTTGAGCAATAAAAGATGTTTATTAATAAAATTTCTTTAATTAGATGTGACTACTAGAAGATATTAGAATTTATATAATAAGACTAAAAGGCTATATAAGAATCTGGGATTTATTATAAGTTATTAATTTATATAAGTAGATATAAAATTAATATCAAAAAAAAAAAAATAACAAGCAAGATATTAGATCTAAGTAGATGATAAGTATCTCATATAATCATAAGGAAATAATTAAGATAATGAATAAACAAGTTTTTTAAACAGTCAAGAAGAATAAGGATATTCTAGAAAAGTTAATTTTTAATGAAAGAAGGTTTTTAGTAAAGATCCTTTGAAGGATATAAAACAATTTTATTTTTTATTTTTTATTTTTATTTCCATACAACACAATTGTATGTTTTTAGATATAACTTTTTTTTTTTATTTTTTCTTTCCCTTTTTATAGTTTCTTGAAATCAATTTCTTGAAGAATAATAAATAGTGACAATCTGCTAATAATAATATATAAATTTTTTTTTTTTTTTTTTTTTGACAGGCTCCTGCCTAACTTTATTAATTTTCAAATTACATATATACATTGCACAAAACCTCGATAAATGGGTGTACATTTGTGATTAATAAAAATAATGATAAGCTAAAACTATTTCTAAAGCTACTTTGAAGCCTATTGTTCTTTCTTTTACTAAAGAAAAACTAGTATCCTGAGAATATGCTGGTATCATCAAATGAAAATAAAAAAATTAAAAATTAAATTGAATAGTTATGTGCCATTCTAAAGAAATATCGGTCCTATTTCAGCACATATCTGTCTTGTTCTGATTTTTCCTATAAAGAGATCTGAGAGAAACTTTTACTGAGTTTTTATAGAGATAAGATGGAGATTATTAAAAAAGACTATACAGTTTTAAGGCTTGTGGAGAGGGAGTAACTAGCAAGGTTCAGATGATATATTGGTGTTCATATAAGTGATCTGAGAGTCTTTCAGTATATCATCAATTAAACATATTCCTATCTAAATATGAGTATACTTACCCATCTATATATCTTATTTTAAATTTAATTCCTTATAAGAAGAACAGTACCTAGTCACGTGATAGATATACCTTGCTGATAGCCATTGGTATTATCAATCAATAAGGATCTCTCAGATTATCTGACTGGCTTACACATTACTGTTGACATTTTTGAACTCAAGTTTTGACTGATGTAATAACATTAACCTTCCAATCTTACAGCTTAAAATTTTTTGAAGATAGAATGAAAACTTCCTAGGTTGCTTTGCCCACAAGTTTTACCACTGAGTGTTCTTGACAACTCCATACTTTTTTCGATTTAGGCTTTCCAAGCAGTAGAGATTGAAATCTACCTGATAATCAATTAGAATATAGGTGGCTCTGACTTGAAAAAAAATTAATTGAGTATCTTGTGACCTTTATTATGATCAGATTGACTCTTTCTTGTATCCAATAATATATTGGTAACATATCCTATATTCACTTGTATCAAACAGTATGACTTATAGTAGATTCCAGGTTCTTATAGAGTTGAGGAAATACATTTAGACATGTGAGATAGCCAATAGAAGCTTGTTTATCAATCTTGTTCAATGTGTTTCATGTTAATCAATCAGTATTGATGAGATTTGTGCTACCTGAAATTTCAGGATCAAGCTAGAGTAGGCAAAATTTTCTAGAAAGTCATAAAAAAGGCAACTCTAAGAGGCCACATTGCCAGTCAAAGGATAGAAAAGTGAGTCCTTTGACTGAACTATAACCTCTGTTATTTTTACCATAGCTGAGAGGTAAAGAGTACTTTACTGTTGATTCTTTTTCTTTTAGAAACTTTCTTGCCATAGATAGTAAAGATAAGAGTTGAATTTTATAGGTTACAAGAGTTCAGTTTATTCAAAGAAGATTGTAAATAAGATATAGAAAAGGTAAGGGAGTTCTAAAAAGAACTCTTTAAGCTGGTTTAAAGAGAATAGTAAGACTTTTTTAATATAGAAGTATTAAAACTTCTTGTGAATATCTTTTTTGTGTATAGTTAAAGGATTAACAGAGAGAATTGATAATAATGTGTAAATTAAAAAGATATTTATTTAAAACTTATTATAGAGCAAAATATTGTTTCTAATATCACACTTAGAGACTAAAGCTTATTTGAGAATTGAAAATTATTAGCATGAGATTTAGTTTAACCATAATACAATTGCTCTATATACAGTAATGATAATAAATAATGACAATTTTATTTTTTTTAGAAATTATGCCACCTGATCTTTTTTTATATCATGTCTATATCAAATTTAATTAGAAATATGTTTGTTAAGCCTTTTAAAATAAAAAAAAAAGTTTTAGTGTCACCTGTATAACATATGACTTTGTTTGCAGAATGTCATCTCCTTATTAAGAGGTTTTGGGATTGTGAATATAGAGAAGTCCGGAAACTCAAAAAACTTACCAGATTTCCCAGTAAAACACTTTATAGATGAATTACCCAGCTTACTAGTACTAGATAATTGAGGCAGAGCAAGTGTCCTGGCTGTCCTCAGCTTCTTAGTCTTGTATAAAGAAAGTATTTTAGAAAAATCGTCATAGAAAATAGAATCACGACAAGCAAAGAACTAGTTGAGACACTTAACAACACTTATCAAGGCCTTAATATTTTATCACGGATAGTTTGTGATAATTTTCAGAAACTTGAATATAATGTATACATTTACCATAAAGTTCCCCTTTTTAGTAATACAGTTATGGAACGTTGACTTATCTGGGTATAAGAACACCAAAATAAACAATAGAATAGAATAATTTTTTTTGATAAAGTTACCTTTCAGATGATTCACAATATGATACAGGTTTGTTATAAAGCTAGAGAGCCATTTTCATCTCAAGGAGTTGTAAAACATCAGTTTAAAGTTTATGTATGAACTTTGTTTTGCTACAAGGGAATTATTGATTTCCATACTTTCACAAAAAACATAAATGATAAATTCTATTGTGAAATAATTATCTAAAACTTATTTGAATAAGCTAATAGGATCCTAAGTCGCAGATAAGTATTTCAGCAGAACAACGATTCTAAGTATTATGCAAAGCTTACCATTGTTTTGTTGTAAAAATGATGTTCACATGTAATTAATTGGCTGTCTTCATTTCCAGATCTCAATCCAATTGAGAATCTGTAGACCTTATTGAAAAAAAAAAGTCAAAAAAAGAATTGATTTTAAAATTTATAAAAAAAAATGGTTTCACAAAGTGATTTTACAAGTTTAATAGAGGAAGAATGAAAGAAGATTGATGTAAAGTTATGTCCCAAATTAGTATAATCAATGTCTAAGAGAATAAAATTAATAATTGACAATAAGAGAGGTGAGACAAAATATTAAAAAAAACAAATAAGGTTCTAAGCTATATATATCTAAAATTTTATGATCTAAAAATAAAAATTGATTAAAGTTTATTATATTACTTTGATTGTCATTATTTATTGCCACTACTATATCACTATCGGTTTTCTTAAAGATTAACAAACACACTATGCTGGCCTGACCATGGGTATAAAATAATAATAATAATAATAATAATATTTTTAATTATTTAATAATTTAGTTTATAATAAAAATTATTGAAAAAAATATATGCTGCACAATACACCATATGTATATAATATTTCATTTATCGCTTTAAAAAAAAAAATCAAAAAGTGTATATATTTATAGAAAATAGTAATGATAAATAATACCATGAATCAATATTATTATTGAAACAAAAAAAAAAAGTTTTTTTAAAGAGAATTCGATGATCCTTATTCTCAAAATGATATACAGCGAGAGTATCAATTAATACGAAGATTACAAAGAGATTTTAAAATTATTATTTCTCGTAATCACCACCGTGTGGTCGATTCAGTATATAAATTTTGTCCTATTGATATATCACATAGCCATGCCCACTAGTCAAGTGTTGTTGGCTAGCAGATGTTCCCTAGAAGCGTTTTACCGATGTTTGATTGGCTCACTCGTTCTTTTGATTGTTTCTAGTTTCAAATACTCGAGCTCATAAAATTAAGCGACACTATATTTGGCAAACTTAATCATCATTCAAAGATTCCGGATATTTCGTTGATCGGTTCTTTCCAGTACTCCGATCGATATAAGGATCAAAATTAGGCTGTTTAACGTAAACCGGCTCACGAGTATCTTTTATGGAAGGCGGAGTTAACACTCGTTTCTTAGGATATGGAACGTCGCACAACCGTCAAACGAAACGAAATACTTACTTAAAATATTCTTGTAAATATTACTGACATCCTTGTCCCAGACCTCACGGAAGAACGAGGCACCGCGCAATTTTAAACGATGCTCGTCCACAAAATCTTGAACCTTCTTGGACTGTTCGAGGTCACCTATATTAATCTTTCCGTAGGGTTGTTCGTATATGCCAAAGGTGTATCGATGATATTTAGTCCCTTTAGGTGGATGCGGTGGTATGTATGGTACAATGGTTTCACCGCCAGCGATGTCAGTTTTCGTAGCCTCGAGGGGAATATTGATTCTAACCGAAGGAAGATTTTAAACGGCAGTACGTAATTAATTTGGCATCAAAAAAAAAAAAAAAAAAAAAAAAAAAAGCATTCAAATATATAAACATACATTAACCAGTGCCATTTTGTCTGAAAGCTTTTTCTCTCCACGTCCGGCATATCTTACATTCAACATAGTACGATGAGTTTCAAGTAACAATCTCTCGCGCACATGGATGTAATTAGACAAATACCACACCTGGATCAACCATCATAAGCGTGTAAAGCCTTTTATCCGTGTGAAAATTGTTTAAAATCACGGTCGGAGGACTGATAGTCTTTGCGTGCGACCGATCATAGTTATCGATAAGAGTCCAACATAAACCAAGGGTGCGCAAAGAGGAACATGACGTAAAATGCGACTCACATTCACGGGGAGTTGAAAGGCCCCAGGTTCTTCTAGCTCATCACCGTACTTAAACTGAAGGTCTATCGTAGGATCCACCAACTCTGGGAATACGTCCGGCACAACGTACATTTGGGACACACGTTCCATCTAGGAATCCGACGAGCAACATGAGAAATCTTTTTTCACACAATTCTCGTATAAATGACATAAACTACCAAATGTTGGAGATAACCATTCTTCCACTTTTTCTCTCGCAAAAATCGATAAACCGGTCTCGACATGTCAACTAAGGGACAATGAGACGAAACATTATTTCATGTTCACAAGGTGCGTAAAGTCCAATGCACAATACTGACTTCTCCCGTGTTCAAAATTCCATCGAACTTCAGGGTCATTCGCCTCGGCTCGAATCCCTAGAACGTATTTTTCTTTCTCAAGTTCACCTATGGTCTTTTCGCCATCGAGACGTCCGTCTGCATCAAAAATCGCGGCATGAATATATATTAATACTTTTGAAAGTTCATTACCAAATACTACCTCATAACTGACTTTGTGAGATCTGTTTTATTTTTTCTTCGATTTCCTTTATCTGTTGATGTTTTTTTGCTTTGTCCTCGAGAATATATTTAAGTGCTTCATCATAGGCAGGGTTAACCCCCAGTGCAGGTGGTCTATAAACAGGAATCCCGGGTTCGGGAACTGGTTGAATGGTCGAAAGCTCTTTCGGAGGTTTTTGTGCAGGCGGAATGGTTTTCAGAGAGCGTACACCGAGATAAAATGTGGGCTGCATTCGTTTTTAAAAATATATTTAATGCGTCGAATGTTACAACGAATTGTGATTTTCGCCCAGACTTACTATACGTGACCTTATCATTCGCGTTGACAAGTAAAACGTGTGGGTGAAAGTGACGGACGGCATGAGGCGCTGAATACACACGTCGATAATAACTAAAGCCCGACGTTAAATTTTTTTTATGACGTATTTTGATTGGACAGATAATCTAAAACGGTTCGATCTTTTGCAGTGCAGCATCGAAATCCTTCATCAAACCTGTTTAATAGATCTAATAACCAATGTTGACTATCGCTGGAGATTATTTAAAGTAGTAAATTGAATTCGTCACCCCGTGTTTGCGTTTGGTCACCCTTTTTTAACCATGAAACGCCATGATCGAAATATTTTTGCAAATTCAACTTGACAATGGGTAGCCAAAGGAGAAAAAGTGATCTTCTCAGCAGCAAAGAAATCTCTGCATGCAATTAGAATTGTATTTATTATTGCGGAATTTAAAGGATCTTTATTTTTGGTGATACTGTAAATAATTTTACATGTCGACTCTTATTAAAGATGTGTAAAAATCGCGCGAGTCGTCAAAACTTTTCTTACCCAACGTTCGTGAACACCCAATCGCAATTTACCACCGTTACCATCACCACGGTATTCCTCTTATACTCCTCGTCCATCCTCGAGTGCACCCTCCTCACTATATTCGCCACCTTCCCACTGGGGCACCACACGTGCAATATCTGTTTCCATATCCTTTCGTCTGCGATATTTCTCGTGGACGAGTTTATGCCACTCAACTTTTTCTTCAGCAGGCGCAACGCGTCGTGTTTAGTATAACGACGATGATAGGCGAACGCCCGAGTTACCGACACACCTATCGATAGGGAGGTGTGATAACATGGGTGGTGGAAGGAGACCAGGTAGTCGGTCATTGGTTGATTTATGAAAGAGTAACCGATCTCCATCTGAGATTTATTTAAGAGAAAGTTAGGTCAAGCACACTTTCAATTAGGTTGCAAGATTGAATGAATGAGAATTGTCACCTCGGTTTTGAGCAACCTCACGCCCAAGATTCTTTCCATGATTTCACAAGAAAGAATCTCGGATAATAGACTTCCACCGCCTGCATTTGGCAAACTTTTCATTCTCGTGGCACCAACTCCCCAATTTATGTCATTGAACCGCCATCCGAAGGTGTTAACATTCGATATTAAGAATTCCCTGGTATTTCTGTTCGTTAGGCTAATGGAAAGGTTTGACATATCATCCAAGGATACACGAATCGTCATATCTTTGAATTTAACAAAGAGGTGGTTAACAGCATAAGAGGAGACAATGGCAGTGATGGTGTCGGCGTTGGTGGTGGTGAAGGTCGGTGAAGTTTGAGAGATTATCGAGGTCGAATTCTTTGAAGAGATGACGATGCAATGGGAGGTGCCACGAGAAATAAAATCTCGGATGATGTGTCGGAATTTGAGGTGCAGAACGGAATTGTCCGTTTCCTTGTGAATATTCCTGTCTTTGTGGTGGTTCCTGGTCGAAACCGAATGTGTCTTCACTTGCTGCCCCGGCATCTTGATCGTATTCCTCCAAAAAATACGATCCTCCAAAAATGCTTGATTCATCCATGGGGTCCGATCCGAGAACCCAACTAGAAAAACGGTCGTTGGAGTTGGTGGTGTTTGTGTTCGTGGTTTTTATGGTGTTCATATTATTCGAAGACATTTTTTGTTAATCTGTTAAATTTTAAAGTTTAAATCTTCTAACGAGTTTGAGGTGTGGTCGATATCGAAAGTCCTGATTTCACGTTGTATCGGATCTTTAAATAGCTTGTCAGTGACAACCGTTTTTCCTTTAAAGAAAGTTCTTTGCATGCTGCGCAACAAATGCCATGATTACATATTCTCACGTCCGCAGAAAAAGACAAATGACGTTTTCTGACTCATGAGAGGTCATCATGCCCTTGATGTGTCTCAAACTTTGATGCACCCTTTTTGATAAATATATCAATCACACCACTTGTTACTTAATAGCGCGTTAGAATCATTATATGGCATTGCGGCTGTCATGTAATAATTCCACTACCAGTATAAAGGTGAATGCCTGGTAGATCCCGATGACGAGACCCGGTTAAACGAAATTTTATTTTTATTTTTGCATTTCAGTCCGGCATGCGACACGAACCTCGGAGAAAGCATTGCGATTTACAAAACAACACCTCCCCCCCCCCCCAATTTTTTTTTGATAGATGCGGCTGCGGTAGTTTGGCGTGCTAAATTAGGAGTCGAGTTAGTTTTTGAAAATATGTTTTCACGGGCAACTATTTCTGAACTTTTTTACTTTACACTCATGACACCGCGAACCAATTGTCCGTTATCTTTTTCCGGTTGAAGCTAAGAAAAAGATAATGCTGAGGGAGATTGAATTAATGCCATAAATGCTCAAGTATAAATAAATAATTGAATAAAAATTTCGCGGAATCGAGGATGCCTCTCAACCTTTTCACGTGATCTGATGAGGACGCCTTGGCAAAACAAATTCGCATGTTGAAATACTTTCATTGACCGTGTTGCACTATGCTTTCCAGTTCACTTAATTTGTATATCGCAAACGGCACATCACATTTCGAATGCAAAGAAGCCCGTTCTAAAAAATGTTCAGCGGATGATCGCGGAAGATCCCATGTTCCCTGACAAAAAGACATGACAATTAGGACTTATAAAGGCCCTTGATTATAAATGATAATACCAATTGGGAATTTATCCAACGTCCTCCGTTTAAACCCTATTCGGAAGAGTCTTGGGGGTCATTTTTGAAAACGAAGAAATGGTTACAGCGGCGATTCGTAAAAACAAGTTTGATATGCTAGTCCACGTCACACAAGTTTGATGATGGATAGCACGCGAGGTTTCATAATATGTTTGTCGTTTTTCGTTTCTCTTTCTAAATCCCTTGTTTCTAATCATGTAAGCCATTCCTTTTGTCTAGTCTGAAATCAATATAAAATACATAATACTTTGGCCGTTAAAGTATAATGCAACTCCCTTGTGTTAACACGCCACCAACGTCTTTGCAATGGTCAGCCAACAAAAGAACCTTTGACGATAAATGCGATCGTTGAGCTCCATTTTTTTTTTTTTTTTTACCCCTGAGAAATTATCAGGCTCAAACATGATTCCTATTGAGGTTTGTAAATTCCATTTTTGGATTTTATTATGTTGGCTGTTATTGTGCTTGGACCAGGTAGGTGATTTCTATTTGGTTATTATTATGCTTTTTTATTTATTTTATTTATTTATTTTATTATTATACTGTATGTTTTTTTTTCTTTCTTTCTTTTTTTCTTTTCTTGATATCTTCTACACGTGATAAATTTAATATATCACCTAGATTAACAGCTCCACCACGTTACACTTCCGTTATCTTCTTCCCCTTGTATCACAAATTCGCATGCATGTGCGGAATTAACGCCGGAATAAAATAATTCGTAACTGACGCAGTAATAAAAAAAAACGATACCCTATGCGACATCCAAAAGAAGAAGGTAACATTACATACTACTCAAAGCTCATGAAATCATTAATCTTTTTTTTTTTTTTTTTACACGAATTCATCTCATCATTTGCAATCACCAATTCCGTTATTATATATATATATAGATTTATTGGGGAAAGAGATTTCGATTTTATTAAATGACACAAAGAAATTGTCACATTTACGTAGTTACAAAGGAAAACGAGATTTGTGACCAAGTAAACAATAGTGATTTTATGTTGTTGTCGGGTAATTACGATTGTTTGTTTATAAAAATTGGAATAGGGCCGACCTCCATTGGAGACGCACCACCCGACCCTACTCCATTCACCAAAGAATGCCGGCTAAATGAGATTACAAAACAGTTGGCTGCATATAGTTCACGAGAAGAATAGGTGTATGTGTGATATGCGACCGACTTATACATTCCTGGGCAGATAATCAATCATTTTGGCCGATTTCTTGCCGGTGGCACAACCCCCTGTGAGAAAAATTTTGGAATCTATAGTCGACGGGATAGCTTCAAGCATAAAATTTTGCCTTGACATGTAAATAATTCAGGAGTTCTGAGAAGTTTTTTTAATAATCCGCAAAAGGATAGCGGCCTCCACAAAGCGACACCCCCGTAGTAACTTGTACGGAAGGCATGATCGCCGTTTAATTTATTTTTATCATTGTGTTATTTATAGTCTACTGCCTTAATGCATTGAGAGCGATGATTTCTTTTTTGATCATTTAACGGGGATTTAAGATTTGGCGGAATTAGCCTAGCGTGGGAGAAAAACAACAATATTCGGGCATCAATAATACTTTATGGAGTAAGGAAAACCGTAATTAAGCGAATTAAAGAAATTTGCTTATCGATTACAAAGAAAAATTTTAAAGTTGACGGTCCTTCAAAGATTGCCGACCAATGAATGAGGATGCACGAAAAATTCTTGGTTTTTGGAGACACAGAGGATTAACCTGTGGGCAAAGTAAAGAGAGCTATCAAGCGATTACGCGTTTTGTGCACCGTTGAAAATCGCAAAACGCCTAATGCTCCTAAGCGATAAGGAGGATGCAGCTAATGTGGTACGATAGTTGGGCAACTTTGTTTGAGGTCAAAACTCCTAGATGGATATTGGAAAACAATCTAACCTGATAACGCGAAAAAAAGATAAATAAATAAATAATCATCCTTATTTGGAGAAGTGATCTCATAATTGCAAAAACGAAAAAGGAATTTCGTATTCTGGGGTAGACCGATCCTAACATCGCTTTCTAAAAATCTTAACAAGTGCCATAAAAAAGAAACCTGAAATATTCGTTAGCCTAAATATTGCATATGGAATGCGTATGTGCTTGATCACGGTATGGTGTATGATTCTCATTAAATAGAACAAAATTATATTAATATTTGTACTTACAAAAAAATATCATTGACTCTTATTTTGTAAATTTAATATCAAAATCATTTTTTTTTTTTTACCATATACCATATACATATACCATATATATATATATATCTATCTATTCTGAATTGAATTTTTTAAAAAATCAATTTAATCCAAATTTTAATTTATAAATAATTTTTAAAAATAGGTGGTTATTTTTTTCTTACATCATTCATTATAAACTTTTTGCATCTAACTGTATGTGTAAATTAACAACACGTATAATCAAATATATATATGGTATCAAGAAGCATGCCTACTATACTGTATTGGCGAAATTTTCAAAGAATCTTTTTTTTTTTTTTTTAGTTCATGCAATCATCCAATCTTAATCAAAGTAATAACATTATCGTTATGTTATTGTCATGCTAAGGTAGTGAGTGGTAAATGAAGGATGCGCTACACGGTGTATGCATGGCATAGAAAAAAATTCATTCATCAACTAAACTATCTCTATTATAATCGGAGACAAACTTTTCTCTAATAGAAAATAACCTAATGCGTATGTTACATATCAAGCTTGATTTGATAATCAATTAGATGTACTTTAATGTGAAATTCGAACAATAATTTGTTCTGCCTGTTTTTGTATTAGTGCGATTTATCGTCGCTCCCCGCTACTCCAAATCCTTAATGATAAAAATTCATCCGGACACTCCTTTGTTCTCGACCTTTTTTGTCCAAAGGTTGGCATCGCATTGTTCGAGTGCAGAAAGTGATCCATATTAGACAGTCGGTTGGACACAAATGTCATGTCACATGAAAGTAATCGATTAAATCGCGAATTGCTAAATCCCATCTTGAAAAATGTATCGCCGTAAATTCGAATCGACATTTTTTATCGAAAATCCGATTTTTACATCATCTGTATGACAATATGACATTGCCGTTCTACCGTAAAATGACATAATTGTGACATTATGAGAGCCTTAATAAGTTTCGCCGCCTTTTTAAGTGTTTTTTTTTTTGAAAGTGGACAAAGGATCAAGGGAAATTAAGCTAGAACCTCATCCCGATGGTGCTTTATCTGGATAATCGGCTAACCCGCTTTATTACTTTCAGAAGGTAGAAGGCGATATGACTACGAGGAAAAGGTTAACTCCGATCAATGACGTTCTCGTGCGCTGACTAATCAGGGCATTGAGAACAAGTTGGCTCGGAATTACGGTCTTAAACCTGATTGAATTCTAGCAATCCTAACTGCAATTTCAAATTAACGTATAATCAAATTCCGAAGCTTTATCACGTGCGAAATTCATTTATCACATCCACACAGATTGCCCAATTGTCAAGGACAATATAAATATTATGATTGAAAAAACAAACACTCAACAATAAACAACGTGTTCACTTCCAATTATAGGAGATTCTGGAGAACGACCAAATAACTCTACATTAGTTGTTCAAGCACCATTGGAGATTTGGCCTTCAAAGCAAATGTGTATTTGGAAAAGTGCACTTCGACCGATCATCACGAAAAACAAGGTAATCACATTTTTTTGTCACACACTTTTTTTTTTTTTTTTTTTTTAGTAAGACCAGTCCATCGAACCGCACGCATCGGGCTCCATCGGCATCGTAGGAAAATGTATTCATTGTACAATTCTGCATTCTCTAAAATTGGTAGATATTTGAATTCACATAGGCAATATGTTTTCTCGCGATTCTCTAGTGTGTGCGCATGTAGTGCATGGAATATCTTGAAGGGCAGATGACATGGCATAAACCGAAAATTTATCGAAATAAAATGCGCATGTGGATTTGGTGTATTTTTTCTTCTTTAATGGTGAATGTTGGACAAGATAATTCGCTCCAGAAATCTCGGAATGTATTATTAATCATTCTGTTGATTAGGGAGCGAGGAAATTTAACTCCTACATGCATAAACCTCTCACGGGGTCCAATTACACAATAATTGTGCCCACGAATAGCACTACCGCCAAAATTGGAAATCTGTGTCCAGCATTGGAAAATGGAAATTCCCATCGAGAATAGCATCATGGTCGAAAATGGAACCTGCGTCAAGAATAGAAATTTGGCTTAAGAATAGATAAGGTTTCACTCGAAATGGTTTTGTGCTGCTTCCTTAACATGCTGTCCATTCATTTACATGTGGTAATAAAGTAATCAGAAACCACGGGTAATATAGGATATTTTTTATACGATAATAGTAGTCTTCGTGTAAAACTCAGAAGAAAAGAACGCAATTACAGTATTTCGAGGAGAATTTGTGCAAGGAATGATTTTTCACACCGGATTTCATCCAAATCTCTATTACACATACGGTATATACAGTATGCGGCGTACTGTATATCATTATTGGATGTACTATTGACATAACGTAATCGTAGTCGGTAAAAACAGGACCCATTACCCATGTTTGCGCTGCGCACTTGTTCAGGTCGATTAATCTCCGTCTCACCAACCGATAGTTTGTAGGAATGAACATAAGTCATGAGGTCATGCATGACAAAGAAATTAAAATAGCCTACTGTGCATTGGCTCAAGCCTCTCGGAAAAAGGTTTCTAGCATTCGAGAGGCATCGCACATAATGTTATAATGGTTAATAAGGAGTCGTTATCATTCCACTCTTTGTTCGAGACCCTGCATTCGGATGCATACAATATTACGCAAAATACATAATAGCATTACTCTTTTTAAAGTTGTACATTTATTAATATATATTTATTTTTTTGGATTTCCTCATTCGTCAGCCAGTACATTATGTTTACAATGAGAGAAACCCACAAACGCGACTTATCGTACTTCTTCGCGAATGAAACAGGGTATGACACTGTTAACTAGGTAAATCGTGCGTGTGAAACAAGTTCATTTCTTGCTTAGCAACGGAGTAGGACAAGGAAATTCGTGGTTGGTTTGAATGAGGAGGCAAACTCTGCGTGAATCTGTGAATCCATAAACACCAGTTCCAAGTCATCTCGTTCCAATTCGGTTGCCGTTGTGAGATTCTTTTTGCCGGGATTTAAAAGAGAACCACCGTATGCATGCCCACAATGGGAGGATAAATAGTGCATGCAACCTTTTTCCTAATGCGCATGGAACATGGAAACTTCTCGTGTCATTCTTTTTCTTTCGCCAAGCAAACCTAATGCGAACACATTGTTTTTCTCTTTGACGCAAGAAGAAATCCATTGCCATAATTGCCACACGTGGGCCTTTCCTACACCGGAATTCACACTCAGTACACACTGTACGTGTGCCTTAAGGTCACATGGATTAACACGCCATCTGTCGTTCCGCAGGGGTGAGGCTTTTCGACCTGGAAAGATAAAGTGAAACTCCATAAGTGTAAAACTTGATTGTTACAATGAGGTCACACCCGTCATTTGAATATCACCTCATTCTAAGATCAAAAGTCACGTTGGAGAGGTCGCGTTAAGGAAATTCATAATACTGTATATCAATAATCTCTCCAAACAAAGTGATTCATTCATGATCAAAGGTTAAGGGAGTGGTATTATTTCGTTAAAAATAAGTGCCGAATCACGTGAATAGGTGATTGAAGGTAATATGAGATGAATAAATAAATATATTGGCAAATTGATCCTTAAAAATTTTTGTTAGGAGGCACGTCATAGATTTCTAAGAATGGGCGTCAATTAAAGGTTCACCCAGTTACAGTATATATTAATAGCTATTAAAATCATTGATTCAGCATTATTTATGACTCCCTTTGACAGCTGCTTCCGCTGACATTTTGCAGGCATTCGAACAATATATTAGTATATCCTAACATCCAACATGTCACCAATATACAGTACTGAATGACCACGATGAACAAAAGAAGGGGGTCACACGCATTACTTAAAATGCAACCCCAATTCATTCATTTGGATTAATGTATGTATTTACGTACAGTACAACCTAGTATTCCTTTTCTTTTAATATGTGCGGGGTGATTTTTGTTGAAGTTGTTGTGATCACTTAATATAGTGTCCAAAATTTTTTGCTCCTAGGAGTCACCGCCGATAGAATTACGTAAGGAAAAAAATAAATACAGTATATGCGTCCGAAGTTTATTTTGCCTTATAATGGAGTGTATATGCTACACGGGTATTAATACCTACCGTAATACGTCATATTCCCGAGGTTGATTTTTTTTCGATTCCGTGAAATAAACTATTTATACCACGACGTTTCCCTTACTTTTCTTTTGCTATTAAAACATCCTCCTTGGACTGCACAACACTCAAAAAAAAAAAAAACACGAACAACTCTTTTTTCTTTCTTTTTCTTGCGACTGTGGGTTCTTTTGGCCTCTGCTCTTCTTCTTATGAAACTTCTATTAATAATAAATATACTACAGTAGTTCGTCTATTTTTACGCACGTAAGAATCACAAAATACTTGTTGGTTAATTGTCCTCTCCATTTAATGTCAGTTGCTTATCACGGTAAGATCATTAAAATCATCATCATTTAAAGTTCACTTATTAACGAATGTTTTCGGGAACTACATGTGCATGCATGACACTAAAAAGAAAAAAAATTCTTTTTTTTTTTTTTTTTCCTAACGTATATTGGTACTCACTCATGCTGCACATTGTAGTAAAGTAAATAAATAAATTATTATTTATTCGCCTGAATTTCGTTTTACCAAAAAATTTTAATGTTTGTGTGTATTTGAGTGAATCGTTGACTGTAGGAAAAAAAAAAAAATAATAATAATCTCCATAAGCAGCCAACAGTCAATGTATAAATATTGTAGTTGGACGTATCACTTTAAAGACAAATTAAATTTGAACCACCATTTGAACCATTCACCCTTGTCGTCCGAAACATTCAGAATCCACAATTCGTACACAAGAATTCTGTTGAATACATACATTTTCCTGTTTCTAATTCTACCTTTCACCATAAAAACAGAACTATTACGACTGTAATACTTGATTTCACAAAGCTCTTACGGCGACGAAAGTTTTGTCATCGCATCAATCCCTACTCCCCACAACCACACACACATTTACGACACAACTCGCAGAGTTAAAGGAAAAAAGCCCATAGTTTGCAAGCAAAAAAAAAAAAAAAAAAAAAAAAAAAAAAAAAAAAAAAAAAAAAAGAGAGAGACAAAAGAAAAGGAAAATAGTTACAAACAACTTATCATTATTTGATAGTCAGGAATATTACAAAATTTTTATGGTTACTTATAAATATCCTTCCG